CTGCTGAGGCAGAATCCCTGACTGAAACACGTCCTCCTTGTTGGCATGAAAAACAGAGTGTGAAGGGAAAACAAAACTGCTACTCAAGAGTCAACACATACTGTTTTCAGAATAAGCTGAGAAGTAGTGTGCTGTACCAGTTCATCTGTAAATTCTCCTTAGCCACTTGCTGTATTCCTTTTCTCCTTTATAATAATTTATATTATTTTATTTGTGGAAACAAAAATGGAGGTCCTAGTATGACATCTTATAACCATGCAGACACACGTTGCCCAGAGACTACATCCAATAACGTATTTTCATAACCTGGCCTTGGTGTCAAATGGATTCTCTGTAAATATAAGAAATACTTCAGCAATTCAGAAGGAAAAAAATAAAAAGAGACTGAAAGACTTTCACCTACTGGGTTAAAAGTAGAATCTAGTTTATAGTAATGATTGCATGAGATGTTACATCAAAGTTAGTTCCTATTTTCTAACAATGTACACAAATGCACAGACTTTAAATAGTGGAACCAATTTGAGTTTCAATATTTTGGATCTTCCTTGTGTGCTATCTTCAATTATGTCCTCAGACCTTCATATTCTTATTGTACTACAACGACTAGGTAAAGTGACTGTGATTCCCCTCTCTCATGCCTCATAAAAATCGGGAAAAAATAATGAAAATATTAATTATTGATAGCTGTTTCTTCATATATATACCATCTAATGTCTAACACACTACTGTAGAAAAATACCTGCAAAGTACAATTATACGATCTAGTGTCATTATTTGAATATAGAAGTAGACTTTAAAGTAAACTCTACCATTAGCAATATTTAAATGCTTGTGTAACAGACTTTCAAGCTGACTATATGTTTATTGTAAATGTAGCTGTTCATGTACCAAAGAAGCTCTATAGTAGCTCACGCTTTGGATGCTCATTACTACGAAATAAAATCTTTGGCTACAGGCATAATTTTTCATCTTTAAAATGAATGTATTAGATAATCACTTTGCCAAGGCAGATAAAGAAAGCAAAGATTCAGTCAAGGTGACAATTACCATCTGGCCAGCTACCATAATTATTATGCTCCCAATTAAATGCACATGCAATATTATTACATTAACATTACGGTGTATGTTAATATTGAACATCACCAGATTTGTGTATTATTAGAGGTATTAAAGTTATATATATGTCTGTCTGGTTTGAAGTCTGACAATACATCTGTGTCAACACCCTCTGTGAGTTAAGTTCTTTACTCTTCATACATGGATGCTACGATCTACACTCTTTTGTCTTTCCTCTGCACCCTTCTCTCTCCCAGTTTTGGGGACTGACTACCTATCTGAGTGCTTCCTGGGAGTACAAATAAGGACTGAATTAAAATAAGGACAAACATGAAATCAATTTAGACTTTCCCTGTTGTAAGTACCTAATAAATTGCCCAGATGATAGAGAGCAGTGCTCACCAGGGTGAATATAGAACCAACAATGCCTTGAAAACTGCTAAAGAAAGCAAGGTAATGTCTGAACACTCTAAATTGAATGCATACATTTATAAATCTATAAGAAAACCAAGAACAGTGTGCCATTTAGTTCTTTTTTTAAGATTTAAATCTTGTGAAATCTAATTTTGAAATTACTGAAGTTCAAAGCAACACAATAACCTACAAACACGTTTGACTAAACATGTTCAGAAAATTCTTTCAAAACAAACTTGTGAAATTTTAGACTTTTGACTTCTATTTCACCTCAAGTAAAACCAGACAGAAGCAGAATTTTTGCCACCAAATTCAGTGGAAGCAGGATTAAGTACTATACAAAATTTAACATCCAACTTTGGTGAGAACAATGTTTTACTTAAAAGAGTATTAAAATATTATTACCTCCAGCAAGAATCTTCTCTTCCAAATCATTCATTTGTTTCTTGTATGCTTTTAAAGCAGCTTCTTTGAATGACGGCCGTATTCTTTTTTTCTTTGGAATTTCAATAACTGTCTCTGGGACATTCTGATTTTCATCTTCTCTTATTTCTACCTCAGGAACCACATTGCTTTCAACTTCTAATATCTCTTCACTGATCACGCCGTCAAACTGTGTGTCATATTGCTCCTCTGGCAGCATTGCATACGGAGTTTCATACAAAGACTGCTCCAGTTCATATTCCTGGACTTGCTCACTAGTTTCACTACTATTAGTTCTGTTTTCTAGTTTAGCAAGCACCTGTTCCATTACTTCTACATAGTCTGTTTCGTTCTCACCAGACGGTTCAATTAAGTCTTCCTCATACTCTGCTTTGTAGCAATAAGGCTCAGCATAAACATCAGAATCGAGTGTTGTACTTGACTCGTTTGCAGTAGACTGAGATAAAGTTCTGAACCTTCCCATAAAAGATGATCCACTGTCTTCGTATCCACTTAAACTTTGTGTACTTTTATTCCAGACTACTTCTAAAGCTGACTTAGCACGTTGAAGTGTAGATCCAAATTTAGGAAAGCTGAAAGCCTTATCAGAAAGGTCTATGCTCAACCGGCTATGCCACGATTTAGGGGCTGTTTCTTCTGAATCATCACTTGGTAGTTCACTCTGACTTCGGTACATCATCGGCAATCTGTTTTGATTCTGATAAGAGGACATAGAATTTGTATCCTGATAATCATCATATTGACCAGTCCACTGACTTTGTGTTTCACTATCAAGGCCTGGACATGATGGAGAAGTACCATCTAGGGTGAAATCATAGCTTTCAGTATCATACTGGAGGTCAGAACCTTGGCCCTTTCCAAAATCCGTCTGTTGATCTGAAGGGCTGCTCATATCATACACAAAAACTTCCTGTGTGGATGTGTCTAGGCCCAAATCTGCCCCTTGTTCCAACTGATTCCAGTCTTTCCACGGGGAAAGATCATCATGTAAAGCAAGCTGAGTATCACTATAGTGGTTTCTGTCTCCAGATGCACAGATCATTCCATTGCTTACTCCACTATCAACAGTTTCTATGTTTTCTATTTCATTTTGCTCTGGATGCTGTTCCACGTCTTGGACAAAAGTCTGTTCCTGGGAACTGCCATACCAGTTTGTAGAATCATCTTGCCTTCGTTGCCAAAGTTCTCGATCAGAGGAAGACAACAGTGAACTGCCATTTGTTCTGCTAAAATACTGGTTTTCTGAAAAATCCTCAGAGTAAGACTGACACAATTTTGAGAAATCTGACTCTGAACGGCTAAGCTTTGGTGTTGCAAAGTCATTCTGTAAGTGCCACAAAGGAGTCATGTCTGAATAATAGGCCTTTGATTGTTTCTCCAGATTGTCAAATTCTGGTGACTGATTGCCATAACTTCTATTTGAAAAGGTGCCATTGTCAGCAGTTCTTTTAAGGTCTTTAGTGTTTGGGGACTCAGTAATCCCCTTTGTAGTGCTTGTTTTTATTTGAAATGCTGATTTAGATATCTTTGCATAACTGTTCTTATTTATATCTGATTCCAAGTCTTTATCACTGTCAGGTGACTCCCAGTCATGCATTTTAGATTTTGTCTCCACAGTTAAAAGTTTCATATCCATACTTTCATATGTCTGAGAAGAAGGTAGTCCTCTTTCTTTTTTGTCTTTTATGTCATGGGAAAATATATCTGTAGAAATTCCAATGCCAGTTCCCTTAAGTTTATAAGACTTTTTTAAAATCAAATCTCTCTGTTGTGACGACTCAAAGTAAACAAGAATGGGTCTTGGCTTTGCATTTGGACAGTCTCTTTGTTGCCCCAATCTTTGGGCAAATTCAATTTTAATAGTGCTTTGTGCCTCTGAGAAGCCCATTTTATCTATCAGTATTTTGTAAACTATGCTTTCAGTTTTTTCCAGTCTCTCTTCAGGCACGTTTAGAAACCTAAGACTTGCTTTGTTTCCTGGATGGCCTATCTGCTTAATGTAGTCATGGATGTCCCGGGTTTCTCTTCTGGACTGTACAAACCCAGTTCGCAACTGTTCGATTTCATTTTGCACAACTTCGACACTGCTGGAAATTTCATCAATTGACTGTTTCAGAGCATTAACATGCCCTCTTAATTCAGAGAGTTCTGTTTCAATTTGACTTATTCCCTGAAGCTCTTTAAAGATCATTTCCATAACATCATGGGTTTGACTAATACAACCTGTCGAACTAAAGCCAGGTTCAAGAGTGTTTGATTTCTGGTGACGCCCAGTTCTGTCCAGAGATTTACTTCTTAATCCCCATGTTTTCTTCCATGTACTTAGTTCAGAGTCCGATGAGACACATTCTTGGCTCTTTTTCCATTTCCTTAGTTTTCGTAAAGCTCCCAGTTTCAGTGTGTGCAAAGTGCGTTCTCCATCTGAGCTTCCATCGGATGGTGCGAGGCTGCTCAAGCTTTTCCTGTTGCGTCTCACAGGCATTGTGTGGGATGAGTATTCGTTCTTCTTGCTATTACTTTTTATTTCACTTAAAGAGTCAGAACACGAGCTATCATTTGAAGACAGATCTTGAACTATATCTTCATTATTAGTGTGTGCTACCAAAACATGCCTTTGAAGTCCATTGGCAATAGCAACTCTGTAACTGAATGTTGGCGAAAGGGAAAATTCTCTATTGCTTTCCTGTTCTTCAGTTGATAAGTTGCGAGCAGATGGGCACTTGGCAATCTTTTTAACGGTGCTTTTTAAAGTATTTGAAAATTTTGGATTCTTTGTATGTCCAATCTGAGTAAAGTCTTGTTCCTTTTTGCTCTGACAACTCTCTTTCCTTTTTGTACTATTTCCCGATTTCTTTGTAAACATTCCTTTGCGGATCTTATATATGTAAGATGAGATCAGGCTCTTTAGGAGGGCAGAAACCATGGAGTGTAATTTATTTCAAGCTGTTTCCACAAAACACCATTTTTGATCCAGACAAGTATTTGTATCTCCAACAGGATCATCATCAGTGGGGACCATATCCATTATAAACTATTGTTGCTCTGGAATAATTTGACAGAAAAATACAAAAAAAAAAAAGGAAAAAAAGAGAAAAGAATCACACATCTGCTTGTTGGAAACAAAATCCTGAAGGGGTTTTGTATGTCTTGCAAAATCTCCCTCTGTTGCTCATGGCTTCTTGAAGTGTCTAAAAAGGAGGGAATGATGTTACAATGGCTGCCAAGCAAACTTATCATTCAATAATACTGATGTTGTTTTAACTAGGTTACAATGGAAACACAGACGATTCCCCATAATTGTCTGAACAGATTTTTTCATGAATAATTGAAACTGAAAACAGTTCTAGGAGAATATTTTTAACATAAATGAATAAGCTATACTTATTTACAGGCTTCTTCCTCCACTTTAATTCTCTGACTTTAACAGAAATATTCGTATTAATGCTCTGTGTTTTCTTTCAGAGTAATGACATTTCAATTTAGATCCATATGATACACAGCAGTGATCAAAAAACAGACAGGGAAGCAAGTTGTTACTATCTAGTAAAACAGAAGTAGAAAGTTCTCTCTTGCTTTATCTTTTGGACCAAGGTTGGATTCAGATATAACAAGTGAGTATTGTATCCATGAAGTACTGTTCTATCTTGATGTTGGATTATACACATGACTATGGTTTGGGAAATAAATGCTTTCTTTTAATATCAAACTTTAACAAGGTCTGGTAAGCCAGGACTCAAAAGTAAGCATATCTTCTTTGTTTCTTTTCTTTAAGAAGTAAAAAAAAACACAAACAAAAAAGGCATAGAAAATAGTAGAAAATCTTAATGACAACTGATGGACCTTCTCAACTAGGTTACTAAATTTGACATTGTTCTGGTCACAGAAAGAAAACATCAAACCTACACAAACCAATATACAGATATGATTTAAAAGTTGCAGGACAGAAACAGGTGCCATTATAACAGGAAAGCTGTTTGATCTAAAAGAAGACTAAGATTTCATGAGGTATCTGGAAGCTTCTATTCCATAAAACAAAAGCTTGTATTCTATAGAAATGTGGTCAACACGCTTTAAACACGTAAATGTATTTTTGTACAGCATATCATTCACCTCCCAGTTTCATTGCTGCGGAATAAAAACAAGACAAATAGCTCAGAAAAATCCAACAAAGAAGTTCTTAAAATGACCATTTTGGTTTCTAAAGCAGCTAAAAATTCTTTGGCAGAATATTATTTAGATACATGGTATATGAAGGGTTAAAAATTGCTCTGTGGTGTCTTCAGAGGCGCAAAGAATATGAACTGTCTTTCTTGTCTGCAAACAGCATGGCACTGTGTGAAAGATTATGGAACACTCACACACCTCAAGATCTAGTCTTTGCATAACACGGTTTGTCTTTACTGACCTTACTGTTAAACTCATGCAATGGTCAATAATAAACACTAACCACTGATTCACACTGCAGCAGCAAAATGCACTATGCTGCGGAAAGCACAGGGAGAACTGCTAAAAGCCTGGTTGGCTTCTGGAATCCTGGAACAGAGGATGTGAACAGACTTATTTCTTTTCCAGTTATAACAAAATTGGAATGCAGACCAAGAGCAAGCAGAACAAGAATAAACAACATTGTTCATCCTTTCCAAAGTTACTACCTATTATTTTATAAAAAGCTGAAATATCTGTTGGATATGAGTCACGTTTATAATGTATCATCAGCACACCCCTTGCCACTTCTTTTTCTTGTAGGCTTATGCCTGAAGTCAGAGTATTAAGAGTGAATTAAGAGCAAGCAACGTTTGGAAGCAAAGGAGTGCTCAATGTGACTGCATGCAATTTTCAAGGAGTGCAAATGGCATCTCTCAAAATATTGCACAGCTTTCACTACAGCCAAGGCTGCCTGGTTTTCACATATTATTAGTAGCGAAAGGAACCATCCTGGGACACTTTTCAATGTCAAAGGCATCTTTCTAGGTGTAGAAACACTTGTTAACAATTCAGCTCTTACACTGAATGTTTGTAACCATTTATTGAATAGGATTTAAGTGTGACTGCCTGCCTTCTATGCCCACACAGAAATAGATTTTTAAATGCCTTCTTATATAAACTTCACTTGGATAACTTGGACATTCTTCAAATGACTTCAGACCAAGAATGAATAAACAAGCTAGAAGGCTTGTTTCCTGTCTCTGCCTAAAAACATCAAGAAATAATGAAGTTATCACTGGAATCTGGAATATTTCCATTCATTTTAAATAAGCTTTAATGCTTCTCTGTAGAATAATCTTGATTTCATAGCCAGCCAGATATATATATATATATATGTTTGACCTACTGTCTAACTTATGCTTTTTATCAGAGATAATTGAAAGTATTACAAGTAGGTACACATTCAGCACTCAATTTGTCAGAAACCCAGTTTCTGACAATGCCATAGTCAATTAAAAACTGTACTGTTACAAACACAGGGAGATCTGCTAAATGGAGCAGATTTATGTTCTCTCATGCGAGTTCTATTCCATCTCAGCTGTATTAGTCATATGATCTGTTAATCAGTTTACAGCCTACCATTGCACTGTCAAAAACTCATTTTCTAAAATTGTCTATCTACACACAGAATCAAGTTTGAGTCATTATAGAGCTCATCCATTTCTTTCTGTAAAGATTTACATGGGTTGTTCTTAATATTTTAAATCAGTGTAGGTTAAAACTTTAGAAAATAAGGAACATTCTTTTAAGAAGCACATAGGACTAAGTAATTATTTGAATGATCTGAAAGCTGTCATTCAGATATTTTCTGGTTTTATTCAGGTCTCCCAATAAGCCATCAGGACCTGATTTTTTAAATTTTTACTTTCCTTGTTTATTGAATTAAAACGATTTATATTATAAAGTTGAACACCATTGAATTAACCCATTCTAAGCATAAGGAATCAAGTTGAAATGATACAGTAATGATGTATGGACTTTATGCTAGATGGTTATAGAGCAGGAAACTGGAAAGTGTTATGAATTGTGAGATTAGAACGAAAATAAATTGTTAATGGGTTTCTTCTATAAAGAAAGGACACAATGGCACTTCCATCAACTTTTTACCCATAGCAAGTCTGAAAATAGACATTTGCCAATCAACATGATGGTGAAAAGGTAATTTGGATACTGTTGACAACAAAGCATTGTCAAAATAAATATGTCAGTTGGAAGCATCACTTATAAAGGATTCTTTTCCAAGTCTAAAACTAATGTGTCAGGTAGAAGGGGGGTGGAGTGGGTTGGGTTAAAAATTACACCTTTTTAAACAATGCGAGCAGTGTATTCTAGTTACATGTCTGAGCACCAGACCCTCATAGATTCCAATTTTTAAAAATTATTTAAACAAATCCAGCCCTTTATTCTTATAAAGAAAATTGAATCATCTTAAAAACATGATTTCAGTATTTAAATAGAATAGTTAGATCACTGCTGAGCTTCTGTTCAGCCCCCAGTAAATAAAGCTGTAGAGCAGCAGCTCTCTCCATTCAGAGGTAGCTTTGTGGATGCAGACTGTTCCCTTTAAAAAAAGCAAGAACCAGGCAGACCCACAGCCTTGCTTAGCCTTTACACTGTGAATCAACGGCAAGGGGCCTGTGTGTATTGGAAAGGGACAGGGAAGAAGATGACACTCAAGTGCAGTGTCCCTCTATAAAATGCCACACGAAAGTTTGTGTTCACAACACCAAGACAGTAGAGGAAAACAAAACAAACCCAGACAGTCTTTTTCTGCAGCAATACCACTTTGTATTACTACCAAAATAGTCACTACTCTCTACAGACAGCAACATCTTTTTTTGATGTGCAAAATGCTTCACAGGAATTAATTAATCACACATAACAAAAAAATGTAAACTATTTACTCTGCAGTCACAGAAACTGAGGCTAAGAAAGGTTATCTTACTTTCAGGAACACAAGGAAACAATAAAAGAATTCATATGCACAGATTTATTAAGTATGGTATTTTACTAGTCTTAAGGTTGCCTGGGAATAAGGTTCTCTTGACATAACTGTACTTGCCCTCAGTGCATGTCTCTTGGGTGAAACCTTTGCTACTTTCCTTTAAACAAGGTGTATACTCCAGAGAGCTTCATTAATTTACTATAACAGTGGCATTATACTGACAATCATCTCAGATGACCTAATTCAGAAGAACTTAATTTAGAACAATTATCTGCTCCTTTACATTCTTCTTAAATTCTCCTCGTAATCTTAAATACTGACACTTTTAATGTGCATTATTGGTGAGTCTTTCAAGGTAAGGTGGCACATCTTAATACTGCACAAGCTACATGGATGGCCTGCCTGCAGACCCTGGCAAAGGTGGAGGCCACAACAATGGAGTAGTCCTGCTTTCTCTTTTGGATAATTACTCTTTGTTCCAGGAATTCCTTAGATTTTCACCAGTAGACCTTTGTCCTACTAGATTAGCCCCTCCAACATTCCCACAAAAGCGTGGAGTGTTATCAGCAGTGTCTACTTTTGGCTAAAAAGCTATTCTTATTTTTCACCAAAATGATTTGGAAAGTTCACTATATCTGCTTATTTATCTAGTGAAATTTCTTTATGGATCCTGCTATCAGTGTATCTGACCACCACTAAATATGTTGCATTCTCTACTTATAGGAAGTGTTATAAATACAACTAACCACTAAATTGTTTTTTCAAACCCCAATCTAAGGGGTTATGCTTATGTTTTAGCCCACAAGACCCACCACTGTCCTGAAGAGCTTGCATGTATATTCATCAGGTATAAGGTAGAATCCAACCTAAATTTTTAGCAGTTATACTGCTCATTATACTGGTCATTCATAGCTGTAACATACCTGTTCTTTCAGCATACAACTTAATTGAGTTTAAGGATGACAGATTCAAGCAGCACAGGCTTAAAACTGATTTTCACTCACTGTGATTTAGAATAGAGTCCGAAACAGAAATCACATATAGAACTTTGCGCATTAGTGAATGAACTCAGTTACTTGCAATTAAACTACTTTGTAATATATAGAAGCATATTGTCTTCAGGAGAGCTGAGAAGAAAATGTAAATTCCCAGCACGCTAGGATGAGTAATTATTCCGGAAAGAAAAGTCATCCTCACTGCTCCCCCACTGCTATGACCACTATGGGAAAAAAGAGGACTTTTTTGCAGTAAAAGATA